CGGGGTGATGCCGACTCCGTCGTTGAGGTCGCCCGCCGTGAGGAGGATGCTGCTTCTCGGTCTGGTTTTGGCCATTTCGTCCATCCACTTGAACAGTCTGGCCACCGTCGCGTAGTACTGCTTGCGCTCCACGGTCTTCTTGGGCTGCGGTGGGCAGTAGTAGCCCATGAGGAACAGGTCTGTATCGTGATGTCGCAGGTGTAGTGCAAGTCCTCTGCCGCGAAGTTCGCTTGGCGGTTCGTGAATTCCGAGTATCTGTGCCCCTCGTAGTTTGCCCTGTACAGCGATGATAATGCCCGTGCTGCGGTTGGTGAGGGCGCCTGGCTGCGCCCGTGTGTCGTTATATCTGCGTTGTTCGGGGTGTGCTTCTCGTCGGAGTCTCTGGGTACCTGTAAGGATGATCGCGTCGAAGTTGCGGGCCTCCTCGTAAATCTCTCGTTGTCGGTCGGGCGGCGCCGTCAGCGGATTGAAAAGCAACAGAGCGAAGGAGGCCGTCCATGCCGTCGCCATGCGGGCCTCCGCCCAGCTATGTGTGTCGCCACATACAGTGCAATAGCTGTGTGAGGTCCTGTGGCTGCCCTGACAATCTCTTAGGCCCAGATGGCAGCTGGAGGAGGAGGAGGAGGAGGAGGAGGAGGAGGGAGGGGCGCGGCCGAATGAAAATCAGGATTGGGCGGGCGGCTCAGGGGGCAGAGCGCTTCCCGAGCGTGTGGCCCCAACCGTTAAACGCGCGGCGGCTGCTGCGTCAACGCCCAGGGGCGGCGGGGCTCAGTGCGAAACGAAACCTGAAGGTGATGGCGTCAATGTCAAACCCGAGGCAGCCCAACCCCAACGCAAGTGCGCTAGGAGCCAAGGCGTGGTGCGCCAGCGGCGGGCGGCAAGAGTGGGCCCGGGGCGGCTGGTGCGTGCTCCGGCGGCTGGCGGCCAAGGGCGGCGCCAGCTGGCAGCGCCATGGTGGCGCGGAGGAGGGGGGGGCGAGCGAGGGGTGGGGAAAGCGAACAGGGAGGAGGACGCCCCACCTGTGTGCCCACAGGTGGGGCGGCAAGCGCCAGGGCCAACGCGCGGCGGTCAGCGCGGGGGGGGGGGGCGCCGAACAGGTGCAAGAAAGATGCGATGTACGCCTCCCGGCAGGCTGGGGGAAAGCCCGCAGCGGAAGGGGGAAGTCCGCCACCGCCGGATGCGATGGCGCGGTACCGAACGGGCGCAGTGAGGTGAAGCCAAACAGGAAGGCAAGGCCCCAAGGACGGGATGGGGGCCTGCGCAAGGGGTCGGCGGCAGGGGGAAGCGGTGGGCCCCGACGGAACGGGGGGCGGCGCACCCTCGGTCTGGGCGGACAGGGCAGTGCCAGGTGGGGGCGCCGGCCTATCGCAGCAAAGGCGACTGCGACGGGCCTGTAGGATGCGACTCTGGGTTGGGTGGGGGAAGCCCGCAGCGGTGGAGGGAAGGCCGGCGCCGATGGAGGTGAAGGCAACGCACCGAACAGGTGCAATGATGTGAAGCAAGACTGGGATGCAGGGTCCCCGAAACGGGATGGGGGCCTGCGCGTGGTGGGCGGCCGCGGGGGGAGGCAGCGGGCCCCAGCGGGACGGAAGGCGGCGACGGTCTCTGTCTGGGTGACAGGGCCCGACCAAGGGGGGGCAGTCGACCTAGCGCAGCTGAGGCAACTGCGACTGGCGTGCCGAGCAACAGAGAGGCCTGCGTCCCATCCCAAGGCGGGGGGGCAGGCAGGCAGGCGGCGGGCTGGGCATGCACATGGGGGGGTGGGCGGATGGCGGCCGAGGGGCGAAGCAAGGACTCAGAAGAGAACCGCGTGCTGAAGCAGGCGGTGGGCAGCTGGGAGATACAGGCCCAAGGGTGTGGCTATTGGCTGAGGCGGGGAGGGCGTTGTGCGGTGGCGGGTCGACGAGCGCCCTCCCTTGGGGCTGTCCTGCGCGTGCCTGTGGGGCACGCCCGCGCGGCGAGGGCAAGGTTAGGGGCAGTGGGGGTGGCGACTCGGAAGGCGCTGCCTAGAGGGCTCATTGTTGAGCTGGGTGTGGTCAGCGCGTCGCTTGCCTTCCCCTGCCGGGTCTGGGGCCTTGCCTTTACCCGTGTCTCTGCCAGCAGATTGTTCCATCCTTTCTGCGTGCGCGTCCCACGCTGCGTGCCAGTTGATGTGCAGTCCGCGTGCGTAGCACAGTCGTCGGATATCGAAATCCTCGTTGCGTAGGTCCTAGGCGGCAGACGATCTCTTCGCAAAGGTCGTCTTGTCCGTCAGGGCTGCAGCGGGGGCGCCCCGTCGGCTGGCCTCGTGTCAGAATTGCTGGCGTTGTCGACCTCCTCCGTTGCAGGCGGCAGGGGTGTGGCCAGGCCCTGGAGTGGAGCTGCTTGCAGGGTCGTTGGGTGTGGGGTCACTGGGGGGGTGGGTGGGGGGCGCGGTGGGAGGACTGGCCCAGATTTTGTTGTGGCTGCGCCGAATGGGGTCGCGTGTGCCTGTGGATGGTGTATAGTTGGCACGGGCGGGGGCCTGAAGGTCTTGTATCCCGAGTGAGGCCAGGAAACCAAGGAGGAGCTCTCGGCTGTACCTGACAGGGTCGTTGTCTATGTCAGCGGCTTGCGGGTGGCTAGTGTGCCGATAAGAGTTCCATCGATTCCACGCCTTGCCCCGGCCTTTCTGGCCTGTCTGTGCCGGTTGCTTGCGCAGGTGGTCGACTAGGTGCGCCAGGGGGGCTTGTTTACCATCCCGTTGCGTCGTGCCTGGAATCCCGCTGTGCGGGATGGTATCACCGTATATGCTCTGAAGAAAGCCTTTGCCGTCATCTTGCGACGGCGCCCTAGGGTCCCTCCGCGTTGGGCGTTTGGAGTGCGGTTGCTGACTCTGTAGGTCGTCAATCCACGTCCGCCATGCAACGTCAATGGAGTGGTGCAGTGAGCGGGCGTGCTGCACAAGAACGTGTGCAATGGTATTGTCGGGCTGACCATCTTGGGTGTTAGGGTGGATCACTCTGTCCGCCATTCGGTATTGGACGCGCCTTGGCGAGCCCTGGGCATGGGGGCGGTGCGAAATCAGGGAGATCCGCGAGGATGGTCCCGCTCACTTGGGGGGCAGGATGGTCTCCCGGGGAGTCCCCGCGAGAGGGGGGGCCTGCGCTGCGGCTGTCTGCGGCTTGGCGGGTCTCCGTGCTGGGGTGGCGGCCGCGCGTCTCAGGCAGGGCCTGGCGCCCTTGGCACTGGCGGTTGGCGGCGCATGGATGAGGTGCTGCTCGTGGTCCGGCTCGTGCTTGAGCTGGAGCTGCTTGTGCTGCTGCGTGCCCTCCTTGTGCCGCTCCGTCGGTTGGGTCTAGCGCGGAGTGGCGAACTGCGTGCGGAGAGGCTCCTGCGGTGCTGGCTGCTACGGTGCGCACGGCGTGGGGCGGGGCGAGCTGTGGGGACGGCCACGGTTCTTCGCTCGTGGGGTGGTCCTTGGAGAGCGGCCAGTCCCGCCGTTGCTGTGCCTCGGGGTTGACAGTGCGCGCCCGACGGGCACCGCGTTGGCCGTCAGTGGTTCCGCGAGGGGCAGAGCCGATTGGGCCGCGCCTGCCCGTGTGGGCGCGGTGCCTCCTGTGGACGCCGGCCGGTCTGCTTGTTCGTACAACTGGCGCGGGGGTGCAGAGGTGCAGTGGGCCCCGAGCGGGCTTGGGGTGGGCGGCTGAGGCAGGGCACGTGTCCTCTTGGGCGGGTTCTCGGGATAGACCTGGGTACCGTCGCGGGCTAGGATTTCCTGGACAGGTCAACCAGGCATCGCTCACAGTACCACGTCGCGCTCCACTTTCTGTTGGAGAACAGCGTGATCCATTCGGCGTATGGTGGGAGACCGCGTGTGTCTGGCCTGGAGTCGGGGCTGCCGGGGCGGAAGGTGAACATGCCTTTGGGGGGGCGACCGCAGTGCCATTCGTGAGGGGGTGTGGCGCTGGGGCAGCGGCCACATCCGCACTTCCAGCCGCCAGCGCTTGCCTCCCTCCCGAACTCATCGCCGTTGGTGTGTCGTTGGGGAAGAGCTGTGCACGTAACGGCAGGGTCGTGCCCGCCCTCCTGCGGGAGGAGAAGTGGTGCAGTAGTAGTAGCCGGCGTGTGGCTGCAGTCAACCCGTGCAGCAAGGCTGCGCGATCAGGATGCGAGGGCCTCGGAGGGCCATCCCGACGCTTTTCGAGCGGGGCGCGGCCAGAGGAGGCGGCCAAGGAGGGGCCGAAGGGACAAGGGGCTGCAAAGGGCACCCTCGAGAGGGTCGCCCGTCCTCACTGTGCGGGTCGACCGTGCGAAGCGCCCACGGGCGGCCGCCGCCCCAGGGCCGAGGCGACGCGCCCGAGCGGAGCGCGGCCACGCGAAGCGCCCACGGGTGGCCACCGGCAAAACACATGCGGAAGATCCAGGCAATCCCTCGTGGAGAGCCGTTTTGGGGGAGACGGGGCGCCTCGCGCGCATGGCAGGCCCGCGGCGGGGCGCTCGTCTCTCGAGGCGGCGTATTTCTTCCGCGAGGGCGAGGGTCCGTTGCGGAGCCGCCTGCGGGGATCTGTGACCGTGGCGGAAGGAGGCGTTGCAGCACTGTCGATGCGTGTTGGGTCTATTCTGGTTCCCCCCCAAAAAACGCCCCATCCTATTCTGGTTCTTCTCCTCCCCCTCCTCCTCCTCCTCCTCCACCTCCTCCTCCTCCTCCTCCTCCTCCTCGTCCTCCTCCCCCTCTGTCTCCCGTCCTTTCGCTCATTTCTCTCCCCTCTCCCTCCTTCTCCCCCCGCCCGCCCGTCTAATCATCATCCTCTCCCAGTCGTCGTCGTCCTTCTTCCTCCTCCTCTTCCTCCTCCCTCCTCTTCCCTGTCCCTCCTCCTGTTCTTATCATCCTCCTATTGCTCCTCCCCGTTGTCGTTCTCCTTCTCCCATGGCGCCGCTTCTCGTCCCCCCATTCTCCAGAGGCACGGGAGAAGATGGGGAGGAGTCGCTCGCCTCTAACGGGAACGGGGGACAGGAACACCGTGGCACAGAAAGACATCTGGCTCCAACCTCATTCTTCCCAACTCGACCAGAAACATCAACGCCTGCTGCCACTGCCTGCCCTTCCCGCACGCGTTAATTATCACATTGTGCAATATAAGGTCCGCTTCGATGTTCGCCTGAATGCCGTCTCGGAAGGAAGCCAAAGCCGCCGCCCACTGACTCGTCTTCCCCAACTTACCGATGGAGGCGCAAAGGTGGGCTGCACTTTGACCTGTATGCTGTCTCATCGACCCAGGTGCACTTATCAATATCGCCCTTTACGAGCAGCAGGTCAAGGATGCCAACGAGTGGTGTTTGACAGGATGGAGCTCAATATGTCTTAAGCCAAACAAGACCACAACTTGCGTGAGTGACAGCCGCATCTACCTCTTGCACGAGTAGACCCGACGTGCTCCAATCGAATGCTGGTCACACGCTGCGCGACCACACGCCCAAGGTCAATCGACAAAAGTGGCCAGGCAGTGTCGACCTAACGCACTTTCCCTCCGCCTCCTTCTTCCTCTTCCCCTCTCTCTGCCGTCCCTCTTCCCTTCCCTTCGTCTTCTCTCCTCCCCCTCGTCCCTCACTATAGTTCCCAACCATCCTGTGGTGTTGGGTCCACGTTTTGAAGAGACAGCGCCCGCTCACGCTCCCGCTCCTCCTCCCCCTCCTCCTTCCTCCCTCCTCCCACCATCATCATCGTCATCATCCCCCATTTCGGCACACCCCTCACACGTTTCGTGGCCCCATAGGGAGCCCCACCGAAGGCCCCAGTGCTGCCGCCCGCATGCGTCCCGCACACCAAATTCGGCACACCCCTCACACGTTTCGGGCTCCATAGGGATCCCCACCGACGGCCCCAGTGCTGCCGGCCCGCATGCTTCCCGCACACCCATTCGGCACACCCCTCGCCACGTTTCGTGTGCCCCATAGGGACCCCCACCGACGAGCCCAATGCTGGCCGCCCAGCGTGGCGTCCCGCGCACACCCAATTCGGCCACCCCCTCACCACGTTTCGTGGCCCCATCGAGCCCACCGAAGGCCCCAGTGCTGCCGCCCGCATGCGTCCTGCACACCCAATTGGGCACACCCTCACACGTCTCGTGGCCCCATAGGGAGCCCCACCGAAGGCCCCAGTGCTGCCGCCCGCATGCGTCCCGCACACCCAATTCGGCACAACTCTCACACGTCTCGTGGCCCCATAGGGAGCCCCACTGAAGGCCCCAGTGCTGCCGCCCGCATGCGTCCCGCACACCCAATTCGGCACACCCCTCACACGTTTTCGTGGCCCCATAGGGAGCCCCACCGAAGGCCCCAGTGCTGCCGCCCGCATGCGTCCAGCACACCCAATTCGGCACACCCCTCACACGTTTCGTGGCCCCATAGGGAGCCCCACCGAAGGCCCCAGTGCTGCCGCCCGCATGCGTCCCGCACACCCAATTCGGCACACCCCTCACACGTTTCGTGGCCCCATAGGGAGCCCCACCGAAGGCCCCAATGCTGCTTCCCGCATGCGTCCCGCACATCCAATTCGGCACACCCCTCACACGTTTCGTGGCCCCATAGGGAGCCCCACCGAAGGCCTCAGTGCTGCCGCCCACATGCGTCCCGCACACCCAATTCGGCACAGCCCTCACACGTTTCGTGGCCCCATAGGGAACTCCACCGAAGGCCCCCGTGGCGGCGCTCACATGCGCATGCGTCCCGCACACCCATTTGGGCACATCCCTCACAGGTTTCGTGGCCCCATCATCCACCGGAGGCCCCAGTGGCGGCGCTCACATGCGTCACCCACACCCACCCAATTCGGCACACCCCTCACACGTTTCGTGGCCCCATAGGGAGCTCCACCGAAGGCCCCAGCGGCCGCGCTCACATGCGTCCCCGCCACCCATCCCGGCACGCCCCTCACAACAACAGGTTTCGTGGCCCCATAGGGAGCTCCACCGAAGGCCCCAGTGCTGCCGCCCGCATGCGTCACCACCCGCACCCAATTCGGCACACCCCTCACACGCTTCGTGGCCCAATAGGGAGCTGCACCGAAGGCCCCAGTGGCGGCGCTCACATGCGTCCCCGCCACACATCCCAGTACACCCCTCACGCGCTTCGTGGCCCCATAGGGAGCTCCACCGAAGGCCCCAGTGCTGCCGCCCGCATGCGTCACGCACATCCAATTCGGCACGCCCCTGACACGTTTCGTGGCCCCATAGGGAGTTCCACCGAAGGCCCCAGTAGCGGCGCTTACATGCATCTCCGCCACCCATCCCGGCACCCCCCCCGCAGCAGCATCATGTTTCGGGGACCCATAGGGAGCTCCACTGGAGGCCCCAGTGGCGGCCCTCACATGCGTTTCCGCCACCCATGTCGGCACGCCCCGCGCGTGTTTCATGTCCCCATAGGGAGCTTCGCCGAATGCCCCAGTGGCACCCATCTCGAGACACCCCTCACACGTTCCGTAGTCCTATGGGGAGTTCCACTGAAGATGAAACCCGCAGCTGCGGTACTGACAACTGCATATGGTTGGGTTCTTCGCCAGGCTAATTTTCTCGTCCCCGCCCCCCCTCCCCTCTCGCTGCATCCCTCCGTCCCTGTCTTCCTTGTTCCTCGATTCCCTATTTTCTTTCCTCCCCTTCCTGCTGCCTCGGACTCCCCTCCAAACCTCCTTCCCTGCTGCCTGCTGCTGCTCCTCCTCCTGCTTCTTCTTCTTCCCCCTCCCCCTCCCACTGCACCCTTATCCTCAAACTTGCTTTCCTCTTCATCTTCCTCCTCCTCCTCCTTCTCCTCTTTCTCCTCTTCCTTCTCCTCCTTCTCCTGCTGCTCCTTCCCGTCCTCCCGCTCAACCTTTCCTCTCTTGGGGTTCCTGCTGCGGCTCCAGTTTGCTCCTGCTCCTGCTTTCCTTCTTTTATTCTCATCCTCCTTTTCGTCGTCGTTCTCCTCCTCTTCGTTTCCTTCCTTTTCATTGGCAGTCCTCCCTCTCGCCATCTGTCCCGTCCCCCTCCTTTTTCTCCTTCTTCTCCGTACGCTCCCTGCGCCCCTCCAGCATCTCTCTCCCCCTCTGCTTTTCCATCCCTCCCCCTGATGATCAACTTCTCCTCGCTGCGGCACTGAGCGCGTCTGCAAGGGTGCCCGGCCGTCTCCCCCGGCACATCTTTGCAGCTAGCGATCTGTAACCATGGAATGTGCAACAACTGTGTTGGTGGAAGGCGGGTCATTCACAAAGTCTGGCTCTCACTTTCGCGCCGCAACAAATTTCCGGCGGTTGCATGCATGGAAGGCGGGTCGCTCTCACAGCCTGGCTTTCGCATTCATGCCGCGCGCGCCGGCGACGTGGATGGAGAGCAGATCGTTTTCAAATCTGGCCCGCGCACGGGCATCGCGCGCATCTGTACTTACCGCCTCAACTGCACGTGTGGAGGGTTGGTGCTTCTGCAATCTTGACGCCGCGTGTCTTGGTTCTCAAACTTTGCAACGGTTGCGCGGGATGAGTCTTTGTTCCTTGCTCTCGCATTGGCGCCCCGCACAATTGCCTTGTACGTTCCCGAATGTGACGCGGGTGGGCGGCATCTGTCTGTTCTGCGAGCCCTGGCTCTCGCCTGAACCCCTCACGTTCTGGAATCGACAGAGTTTGGGGGTGTGAGCACACAGCGCCCCCAACTGGAAACATCGGTTTCGGATCGGATCGTGCGGGCGAGGCGACGCAGTGCGCGTGCGATGAGGTGCCGTCCACAACTAGCTACAAGTCTCGTCACAGTTAGGCAGCCAAGTCTGAGGAACTTGCTCAGTGACGATATCCCCCTCTCGCGCGGCGGGGAATTCGCCCCGCCCTCCACAACTGAACCATGCGCGCTGAAGTGCGCGGCCACAGGGGCGTTCAGCCCCAAATGCCCAACCACTGCTTGCTTTTGAACTTCGGAGAGGCCGTTCGACGATGACCTTTCGACAAGCGCCCTCCAATGGCGTCGCGGCAGATGCGGCGAGACTTGGCCTCACCTCCACTCCCGAAGCGCAGCCTTCCGCGCGCGCCAGCTCGAGGGCGGCGCGCGTGCGCTCGTGGCAGGAGGGGCAGCAATGACCCACCGATGAGGTTTGCGCCTTCTTTGTCAGCTGGACGCGTTCTCGGTTCATGCTGCCTTTGAAAGTTACAGCAACCATATAACTCCGATTTTTTTCCCCACATGCTTCGTGGGGTTCTGGTTTTCTTCCCTGCCGCGCCGCGCCCGCGTCTCCCCCACACCCGCCCTCCTCCCCTCCTCCTCCTCCTCCTCCTCCTCCTCCTCCTCCTCAGCACAGCGCAGCACAGCACAGCAGACCGCAGCACAGCATAGGACAGCACAGCACAGCTCAGCAGAGCACAGCACAGCACGTCTCGGCGACACGCGTCTACATACAGCCGCACGCATGCACACACTCGCACACACAAGACGACACCAGTCCTGGCATAGCAGGCGTGGCACTTTCTCGACACCATAGGGGGTGCGCAGGGGGTGGTCTCTCGCTGCGGTCTCTATACGCCCCAGTCGTCCTGCTATAGCAGGCGTGGCCCCAGTCGTCCTGGCATAGCAGGCGTGGCACTTTCTCGACACCATACGGGGTGCGCAGGGGGTGGTTTCTCGCTGCGGTCTCTATACGCGCCGGTCGTCCAGGCATAGCAGGCGTGGCACTTTCTCGACACCATAGGGGGTGCGCAGGGGGTGGTCTCTCGCTGGGGTCTCTATACGTCCCAGTCGTCCTGGCATAGCAGGCGTGGCACTTTCTCGACACCATAGGGGGTGCGCAGGGGGTGGTCTCTCGCTGCGGTCTCTATACGCGCCGGTCGTCCTGGCATAGCAGGCGTGGCACTTTCTCGACACCATAGGGGTGCGCAGGGTGGTCTCTCGCTGCGGTCTCTATACGCGCCGGTCGTCCAGGCATAGCAGGCGTGGCACTTTCTCGACACCATAGGGGGTGCGCAGGGGGGGTCTCTCGCTGCGGTCTCTATACGCGCCGGTCGTCCAGGCATAGCAGGCACTATGCGCATACTATTCCAGTCGTCCAGGCATAGCAGGCGTGGCACTTTCTCGACACCATAGGGGGTGCGCAGGGGGTGGTCTCTCGCTGCGGTCTCTATACGCGCCGGTCGTCCAGGCATAGCAGGCGTGGCACTTTCTCGACACCATAGGGGGTGCGCAGGGGGTGGTCTCTCGCTGCGGTCTCTATACGCGCCGGTCGTCCTGGCATAGCAGGCGTGGCACTTTCTCGACACCATAGG